AGATGGGCAAACGGAGAGAATTAAATCAAATCTTAGAAGACATGTTGAGAGCATGTACGTTGTAGTATGGTACTAGTTGGGATAAGAGTTTGTGTTATGCAGAGTTCTCATACAACAACAGCTATCAATAGAGTCTCAAGATGTCACCGTTTGAAACTTTGTATGGGCATAAGTGTAGAACACCCTTATTTTGGAATCAAACAGGTGAAAGTCAAGTGTTTGGACCAGATGTGCTTAGAAACGCTGAAGAGCAGGTGAGAAAGATTAGAGAGAACCTGAGAGTGGCACAAACCCGTCAGAAGAGCTATGCAGATAATCAAAGAAGAGACTTGGTATTTGAAGAAGGAGATTATGTCTATTTAAAAGTATCACCTATGAGAAGTGTGAAAAGGTTCAACATGAAAGGTAAACTAGCACCACGGTATGTTGGTCCGTTTAAAGTTTTAAAGAGGTGTGGAGAAGTGGCTTATCAGTTAGAATTGCCTGAGAACCTGTCTGGTGTCCATGATGTGTTCCATGTGTCCCAACTTAAGAAGTGTTTGTGTGTGCCTGAGAAGCAAATACCATTAGAGAAACTTGCTGTTAGGGATGATCTGACATATGAGGAGTTTCCAATTAAGATTTTGGATATAGCTGAGAAAGTTACAAGAAGCAGATCAATTAGGATGTTTAAGGTTCAGTGGAATCAGTATTCGGAAGCAGAGACAACTTGGGAAAGAGAAGATGAATCGAGAAAGACATACCCGCAGTTGTTTGAGTAAGCACAGCCTAATCTCGAGGACGAGATTCTCTTAAGGGGGGTAGATTTGTAACATCCAAAGATTTGCATCACTTTGAAATAAGTGAATTTGAATTATTAGTGATTTTGTGAGCATGCAAATCTAGTTAAATAAATAATTTTTGTGAAATTAAAATTCATCCTGAGGCTAGAGACATGTAGATGCACTCATGCTGGAGCATATTTTATTTGTGATGGACTGGTTTTTGTTGCATGTGAAAAGGAATTCAAATCCCATTTGAAAATCCATTAGAAAATTCTGGAAATAAAAAGAAATAAATTGGAAATCCTTTCTTCTCTGTTCTAGCCGCGAGGCCCATCCTTCCTGGATTGAGCCCTAGCTTTAATTCGGTCGGCTTCGAGCCTCCTACCTTCCTTCATCTTGGGCCGAGCCAAACCCAACAAGAAGCTAATAATTCCTCACTTATTTCCTTCATCTTGGGTTACAAATCTACCCCCTTAAGAGAATCTCGTCCTCGAGATTAGGGCATGCTTACTCAAACAAGCTGTGGGTATGTCTTTCTCGATTCATCTTCTCTTTCCCAAGTTGCCCTGCTTCGAATACCGATTCCTTGAACCTTGCACATCCTAATTGATCGCTTCTTGTAACTTTCTCACTATATCCAAAATCGAAACTCCTCATATGTCGATCATCCCTCGAAGTTCCTCTAATAGTATTTGCTTCGAAGTGGACACACAAACACTTCTTAAGTTGGGACACATGGAACACATCATGGACACCAGTGTTCGTGCAATTCTAACCGATAAGCCACTTCCTCGCCTCTTTAAAACTTTAAACGGACCAACATACCGTGGTGCTAGTTTACCTTTCATGTTGAACCTTTTCACACTTCTCATAGGTGATACTTTTAAATAGACATAATCTCCTTCTTCAAATACCAAGTCTCTTCTTTGATTATCTACATAGCTCTTCCGACGGGTTTGTGCCACTCTCGTGAGGTTCTCTCTCTGCTCGATCTCGGTAAGCAGCGAAGCCAGCCCGCCTCCTTGTGCGCCTCGCAGTCCGTCTTCCTCCTCGAGTAAACAGCGAAACCGGTGTTGATCCACGCGATTTCCTCGCCACGGTGCAATCCGCATGCGCCGTGTCGTCTATAACGCGTCGCTGCCCGATCTCTGGTGCATCCGCCGCCTTCGCTGGTGTAACGGCGGCCGTCATAACCCTAAGCGGCCGCCGTTGCCGTCGATTCACCGTTCCCGCCGCTCGATCCTCTCCATAAGCCGTCGTACAAGCTCCGCGTGGTTCTCTCGGAGATGCCAAACCTTTCTCTTTTCTTTTTCGTGCTTTGGTTCGCTCTCTCATGGATGCCGCCGTACGCAGGAAACCGCCGTCCGCCTTCCGTAGCCGCGCGCCGTCCGTGACTGCTCCCCGCCTCCATCTTCGAGCTAGGCGAGTTCGCCTTGAGCTCCACAGTCGATCCATCCCAGTCCCGTGCCGTTTGGTGGCCTGAATATCCGTGTCCGAGAACGCCGGCGATTTCCGGCCATGGCGCCGCCGCGGTTCCCTTCTTCTCCGGCGACTGCGCCGCCACCCGACGCCTTGATCCAATCCCGGCCATCCAAGTCATATTGGACGGCCAGGAATCGAGGATACCCTTTCGTTGGCAATCTTCATAAAGAGCCCCTGCGTTTTTCAGTAATTGAACCCGCAGTCCAAAACGTAATATGGAGAATACGTTTTCTCTTTTGGAAAACGTATTTTTCATTTAACAGATTCAAAATCAAGTTCCATTTAATTACAGTTTTGCCACTGATTTCAAATGCTTATAAAATGCTCATTTTAACTATGATTTGATACGGTCAACTTGCGTTGGGTTCGTAATTTCGTAATCTACGTGTTAGTGTCCTTGTTAGTTCAGTTATGGTTTTTAAATTTCGAGTTCATGTTTAGTACATTAATAGTCTATAGGAAAACATGGAAAATCCATATCTTGCTCGTTTTAGATCCGATTTCGGTGAATTTCGCGTCTATATGATCGTAGTGATGAGTAGAATTGTTTTATACACTTTTCAAACTGTTTTCTTGCTGGTGGTGTATTGTTCTAATTATAGCTCTTTGTTTGCTTCGTGTATGATTGCTCGGATGATTGTATGTTGCTGCTTGGTGTTGTTGATCGAGTTCAGACGATGAGGTTTTCGTTGGTGATCAAGAGAACTTCTACGACCAGCAAGACTAGCAAGACTTTCAAGAGAACTTTGATCAAGGCAAGTATAGCTAAGGACCTTCCTTGTTGTCCTATTCATGATGCTCACTAAAATACATATGCATGTGTCTTCCTTGCTACCTATGGTAGGATTTCCTAGAGATTGAATACTCAGTTACCTTGAAAACCTTGGGATATATGCATGGGTAGTATTTATGCTAGTGCTAAGCAATGACAATGATCATGTGAATTGATTAATGGAATAAGCAATGACAATGATCATGTGAATTGATTAATAGAATAAGTAATACATTAAAAGATGACTAAAAGGACTTATCCTTTGGCAAAAGCTGGGAGAACCCGTACAGCTGTGAGGGCTACATGGCTCAGTCTCTAGTCGCTTAAGAAACCCTTTTCTAGCTGGTTAGAGGTCTGCGAGTTGGGTATAGGACAGCCTCTGTCCTGTTGAGCCTAGCTATGGAAGCGGCCTTTTATATTTTTGGAAGGGGGGTTCCTATATCCGATGACCCTACGGCCCTGGCTGGTTAGGCGAGCTCTTAGGTGACTTTATATGGTGTTCGGTGTTTGGACGTAATTAACCCATACATTTGAACAACATGACTCACAGTGAAAGTGTACAACCTCTGCAGAGTGTAAAACTGTTATAACAGCCGTGCCCACGGATACGGGCGGCCCGGAAAACTGAGGGAATATACAAGTTCTTAATTGAAACATGATAATCGTTTATTTATGATACTCTATTGTTATTCATTATTCGATTACATGGGATCATTGTGACATTGGATCATTGGTACCTTGATGTTAATAAATGCTAAACTTGATGATGACTTAAATGCTAACCACAGTAAACCAGTGTCAGCTATTTGAGCCTCATGAACCCTTAGTTATCTTGTTAAGTACGACATGTACTTATGCCTTGCTTTATCTTTTATGTTGGAAAATCCCGGATGGGTAACAGATCAAGATTGGATTGAAGATTACCGTGATGAGTATTAGGCTTGGTGTCAACCAGTTGACGTCCTTGTTGGAGCTTCCGTAAGAGAGTTATCTTAGTAGTTATTATATTTATGTTTGAGACTATGTGTTGAATATTTATTCGCTATGAAATAAACATTGTGTTGGTACAATTTACAATTTGTCCACTTATGTGTGCCACCGTTCCTGGGGTGCACATAAGACTTTTATACATCCTCTTTTGTTCTTAAAATTGGGTGTGACAGATTGGTATCAAAGCACTGTTGACTGTAGGACGCAAGCCTAGTTAGAATGGTCGTTTTTAGTTTCCTTTGCTTCACTTGTTTCATGCTTTCCAGCAGGGCTGACTTTGGCGCCTGCCCCTTCTGTGGCTACAGTGCAGCAAGTGAGCCATTCGGCGCCTGCCCCTGCAGCTGCTACAGTGCAACAGCAGGGAGCCATTTTCGACGTCGTCTTCCCCTGCTGCGCATTCACTCAAGGGTTGCAACAGATTATCTAACAAGGACAAAAACCGAGAAAAGAGAAGTTGAGCTTGAAGAGTACATACAAGAAGCACATAGTTTTGTGCAACATAACAAAAATCCCCCAGCACTGGATTCTGATAGCCGGTCATCACACTTCAGGCGATTCGCTATGCCGGACAAATTATTTCTAGACTATGCATATGTCTCTGATAGCCGGTCATCACACTTCAGGCGATTCACTATGCCGGACAAATTATTTCTAGACTATGCATATGTCTATGGTGACCGTCTCACTACATTGAAATCCTTTTGGTTGCTGGATGAGGAAACCACATACGACGCCCTTTGTATAGGGTTCTCTGAAACTTTTGATCTTATTTATAGCAAGATATTCCAAGGGAATGATAAAAACAGAACCACATCTCCCTTGGGCAATCACTTTTCTATCCTTATAATGTTTCTTAATCTCCTATATTGCCGATCGTGCCCGTTGGCCTCTTCCACAGCAGCAACAAAAAGGCTTATAGGGGAAGCGACATCAAGGTTACATTCATATTATTGTACATCACATACTTTTTAGAGATTTTGTCCAATTTTTCAATGGCATGGATTGGCAATGAATGGTCAGACGGGGTTGCTCAGCATAGCCTTATAGGATGCTTAGCTTGTAACAGAAGGCACACAAGGCTAATGGGCATCGCAGAATTCTTTCAGTGCAAAGGTTTGTTTGACACATATTTTGGCTTCAAGCCTTGTCACTCGTCCAAAGACATTACAATGTTAGTTCGTGAACATGTTAAGGACGGATGGATGAGTCATATAATAGATATCGAGAGTTATTGGAGGTTCAGCGACAGCCGAGGCCAGTGGGCAGTTGAGCGCAACGGCGGTGAAGAAATCCTTCTGGGGAGTATAGATAAGCCCTTCGACGAAAGCATCATTCTCTGGCATGTGGCCACGGATTTTTGCTTCCATAAGAAGGGCACATCTCATGATTTTCAATGTGCCAGGATGTGTAGACAAATCTCCAACTACATGATGCATCTATTGTTTGCTAATCCTGAGATGTTGTTGCCTGGCAGCAGAAGGAATTTGTTTACAGATGCTTATGATGAACTCGAGGCCATCCTCCAAGGTGATGATCTATCACTGCTGGACGAAAGAGGACTTACACTAGGGATAATTAACAAGGCAGAGTTACCAGAAGGTTTTCTTCGAGACTCATGGGTTCTTGCTCAAGAGTTGATGCAATTAGGTGATGAGAAGAAGATGTGGGAAGTAATCAAAGCCATGTGGATTGAGATGCTCTGTTTTTCTGTTGGTAGATGCAGGGGTTACCTGCATGCCAAGAGCCTGGGCTCCGGTGGGGAGTCCCTGTCCATCGTCTCGCTCCTGATGTCGCATGCAGTACTGGAGACATATGCCGAGAGGCAACAGAGAGTGCAGCTTCGGCTTCCCAAAGAGGAGAGAGTGAATATTGCAAAACAAAGAATACAAGGAGCTGCAAAGAACCAAGCTACTGGTGGCTCGTCGACTCCCCAAGGCATGGTTCCTGTGAAGGAAGAAGAGATTGCTACCACTCCATTGGCTTCTCTTTTTTTTTTTTTTGGCAAACATGCACCGGGACGCAAGCTTTTAAAATAAATGGGCAACTAGAACAAGAACAAAATGTTGCTTCTACATCAGCTTCACGAGTTGAATGTGTTGCCCCTGCCCCTGCGATCAGGATTGTTGTCTCACCATAAGAGCAATGTGATGTCTTCGCTGTTTGTGTATTCCTATTACACTCGCTGACTGCAGCGTGCATGTACCATTCCATGTCTGCTCATTTTGTTTCAGATCTCAATATAGTTGAGTTTGGAGTTTGATTATTCGAAAGCTTCACCCTTTCTTCATTTGAGTCAGTTGTTAGTAATTGTTGTCTAAGTTTGTTCTTCAAAATATGAGATGAGGACTTTTAGGTGTCCCTTTGGATGTAATATAATCGATAATCAAACTGAAACTAATGTGTTGAGTTCATAACATTATACTTCAGCACGAGTCTCCTGTTCGCAGACCACTGTTGCTGCCACCACCAAGTCCAACCTGGGCCTTGTTTAGATTCCAAGTTTTTTCACTCTCTCTCCATCACATCAAATCTTTGGACACATGCATGGAGTATTAAATGTAAATAAAAAAATAACTAATTACACAGTTTAATTGTAAATTACGAGACGAATCTTTTGAGCCTAGTTAGGCCATGATTGAACAATAATTGTCAAATACAAACGAAAGTGCTACAGTGCCAAATACTGATTTCTCACACCCATCTAAACAAGGCCCTGCTGCATATGGATGCATCTCATTCGCAGGTCAGTGTGTTCATTGCCTTGCTCCATAGTTTCTGACTGAATGAAGTCTTGTATGGAAAGATACTGCAGCAAGAGCAACGAAAGCATCTGCTTGATCTCCTCTATCTTGAACATCAGTACAAACCACAAGATATTGTTTGGGAGCAAGCGGTAGAATTCTCAAGTAGACTTCATTGATAAGAAAAGCTTGTACCTGACGAACATAGTTTTGCAATGAAAATCAGGCATCAGGAAAAAGGAGAAGAAATTAACGGACTTACAACTATAACCTCAACAAACATATCTTGCAAAACGTACAGTGCAAGACATCAACATCATAAATGAAAACCCGAGGAGCTAATTATGCAAATACCTGGAGGCTGGAGCGATGGCACCTATCATCTAGGAGTATACATTTCAAAATATTAAATGTCATGAAAACATCTGAAAAGAAATCAACCGTGCATACACCTGAACTAAAAAATGAACTGATGTAGCTAGTTGACATTTATAGGAAAGATTCAGGCAATTACTACTCTCTAATAAGACTATTCCAACTATAGCCTTCTAAAACGCAAACAAATCCATGTGGACAGGATTGCAGCATCTGTCTTGTTGTCGTTGTCTCATAACTAATTTATGTTGCCTGGAACACACACAGGGATGGAGACGTTCCTATTTATGGGAGGGAGGAAATTACCAGAGAATTGAAGAATTGAAAAATGCTAGTCTAGTATTTGAAGAATAAGAAAATGCTCGTACTTTTGTCCCAAGTAAACAACCAGTGTTATTGGCTTGAAGCACGAAAGTCTCCATGTGCTTCATTTTATTCGAGACTTAGGTTTCACATTGAAGGCATATCGGAAAAATGAATGGTAATCAATCAATTGATCGATGTCTGGCCAACTGGACAATAACATGCCATTTGCCTTGGCATGAGTCAACATCATAGATCAGAAGAACACATGAAAACAAGCAGGTCATGCAAGCATAGGTCAGGCACGTCCTATCGTCTAACTTATTAATACTAGTATATTACCCGTGCTAACGCTACGGTGGCGTCTAGAAAAAAATAAATCATAAAACTAAAATAAATAGTGTTTTGAGGTTCATGTGGTTCGTAAATAAATAATAAAAGGTCTTACAGCATTGCTAACTCCATCATATTTGAACCATGTACAGTATTGAGCCCTTTCACAAACTTGTCACACACGGATTGTATTCCAAACATGGACAAAACCTGTGGTGATTTTCTTCGGTAAATTCCAGCTAGCATATCATACTATAATACAGTCAAAAGTCAGCTCTTGCTTCCTGGGATCTGATCAGAGATTATAACAAATAATGAGCTGTTAAACAACCAAGCTAATTGCCTGTTCGTTTGGCTGATAAGTCATGGCTGAAAGTACTGTTGGCTAATTTTTTGTGAGAGAAAAATACTATTTATTTTCTGAAAAAGTACGGCTTATAAGCAAGCGAACAGGCGAAATGCCGTTATAATAGCAGAACTACAGTATTATTCCTGTGGTCTGTCTTTGGAGGTGCATAAAAGCACTTGCAGACTTGTTGCACACCCTAAACATATCCTGTAGCTATAATATTGTGATAAGCCAGGCCTATAATTCCCAAGAGCATATAGGAAAAATGCTAAATCGCTTATCAGAGAAACAACAAAAACGTTTAGTGTCTGTGTCCTCTAGACCTCTAGACATCTCTAAGAAAACTATCTGGAGCAACGCAGGGCCATGTGAGAACACAAACAGGCCACTATAGGCTCTGACCATTCGAACCAAACAGCATCCAAACAGCATCGTAGGTACCATGGTCAGAGGATAGATCATTTCAAATTATTTGTTGGACATGATTTTGAAACAGAATCTGTACAAAAGAAAACTTACTCGATTAATTTTAGGCTACAACTTTCTCCTGGCAAATGAGATTGTTTTTATGCATCAGTTCTGCAAAAAAAAAATCAATTCATGAGCCTTGACTCCTGCAAAGGAAACAAACAAACTGAAGGTTGTTTAGCTTTCCAAATTGAACATACATTTAATCAAATCTCCCCAGATTAGTTTGCTTACAATCAATACTGATTCTACTTAAATAAAGCAGCATGGTTGTACTGACAATGATCAGATCAGTAGGTGTGGCCCTATGCTTTGCACCTATCGTGGACTCAAACCAATTGTTTGCCCTCTTTAAAGTCGAACCATTTAAAATTTTAAAAACAAATAACATGTCTGAATAAGTATCTTTATACAGTTCTGTGGTTAGTAAAATATTATATTTGTACTCTAAAAACTTTCACGGACCAAAAAACAAACAATGCATCCAGATCTGCTTAAACGAACAACCTGGTTTCGCAAACAAAAAAATTAAATTCAAAAAACACAAGCATATACAAGGTTAGAGCTATAAATGTTTGCAATAAATTAACACACGAATGCTGAAAAGACAAGTTTTGTATATCAGTCAACATTCAGGACTTTCGGATCCACATTGCTCCAAATTTTTGCAATAAATTAACACACATGAGTGCTGGATGGACATGTTTTGTATATCAGTCAACATCCAGGACTTTCGGATCCACACTGCTCGGGGCAGAGAAGAGAACTGTCACGCCCCAAAATTCATGCTTTAGGATGTGACTAGAAAACACTAAATAAAATAAACGATCTAAATATTTCCTAAAAATTTTCAAGCTTTACTTAGTTGGTTGCCAATCAAATTGGTCAAGAAAAACAATTTTATAAAACTTTTACAATTTAATATAACTTGTTTGTTGAATTTCATGCCCTTGCATAAATTTTCTTGAGTGAAAAATGAATTTAGAAAATTCGATAAAGCCTCGAATAGGTTTTGCTCTATTTATTTAAAAAATAAAGTTCAAATTATTTTTTATAAAGTTCTAAAAATAGTTTGAGTTTTAGAACTCTTTGAATAAGTAATTTAAATATAATTTCTAAAATCATAGTCAAACTCTTTAATCCTTGTTTGACTAAAATCCTTTTGATCCCAGCCAAATCTTTGATCATTCTTTATCCATCTCATCTTCTCTCCACGTATCACATTTTAGTCCTCGACAAAATGGCCATCGTTTCCTTTGTAAACTTAATTTCCTTTCTCCCCTTTCCTCATATTTCCTTTGTCTACATGCTTAATCATTTGCACGTCAGATCACTTTGACAAGCAAACAATCAGGCCTCCACGTTCTTCTATTAATGCACGCGCATAATTCTCTGTTTAACCAGTCCACCAAATTAGTATTAGCGTCTTCCTCCCTCCATCTCACGGCAGCTCAGCTGGTCTGCTGACCTACCAGCCATTTTATGTCCACGCCCAAGGTTCCACCATCTTAATTAGGTCATTCATGGCATCTCTCTGCCTTCTCTCTCTCTGACTCAATGACAGGTGGGGCCCACACCTTGCTTCCACCTCCAGCCGCATCTCACCTCCTTTCTGCCGAGCCGACCACCATGGCCGCCTCCCTCTCGCTCTCTCCGAGTGAGTTAAGGCTGCATTCAACGTGGATAATCAAACCACAAGCAACGGCCTCCGTCACTCCCCCTCCGTTACCCCTCTTCACTTCCCACGATAACTCCTCTCAATTGCTCCTCCAGTAACCGTCCGCCATTAATGGCAGTGAAGCCGAGCTCCACCACCGGCCCGTCCGCTCCCTCCTCTGCCCTATATAAGTGGCCCTGAGGCCCTGCGTGCACAACCCGCGTCCGCCAGCCGCTCCACGCCCTCTATCCCTCGCTGCAGCGCCACCGCGTGCTCTTCGCCGAGCCAAAGCCGCCACTGTCGATCTCCCCGCCGAGAGCGCCTCAAGGCCTCCTTTCTGGTCGGTGGGCGCCGCAGCCGCACGCCGCACCCCTTGGGGCGAATCAGAGCTGCGAGGAGGCCTTCCGACCTCGCCGGAGCTTCGGAGCCCGCCGCCATCCGCCTTCCCCCGGCGCCCTGCTTCTCTGTGCCGGAGCCGACGCCGAGAACCTCCTCGTCGTGTTCGCGGTGAGCTCCTCTCTGTCTTGCGCAATGTCCGGTCGTCCACCATGTCCTGTGGCTCGGAGTCGTGTTCGCTCCGGAGAACTCTCGCCGCGATGGTCATGGCGCCGCCGGCCTCCTTTCATGCACTGGCGACCCCTCCGGTCCCAAGCACAGCCAGCCGAACAGGCGAGCCGCGCCACCCCCTGCGCTCTCCCCATCGCGCACACGCGCACATGCACAGCGCCACGACCGGCGACCACACGGAGCAAGCAGCCGGCCGTGCTCTGCTTTCTCTTCTTACTAGTGGACATGCACGTGTTATCGCAC